ATGCAGACGGTGTCGTGGCACTTGTCCCTCTCACTCTGTCCATCTCAACACGGCGGCGGGTATTCCAGATAGAGTTCAGCATCGGGAGAAGAGTGAGACGGACAAGTGGGTACCGCCTGCATCTCTTTCTAGTTCTGACTGGTCAACGACTTTCTACCTCACTTATACGATATGAGGTTGCCAGAAAGAATTGCATAAAAAGATATGCAGATGGTGTCGTGGCATCTGTCTCTCTCGCTCTGTCCAACTTCTTAACACGGTCCAGTGCAGCATGTAGAGTTCACCGTCTTTGAAAATTCTCTGGAGGCTCCGCACAATTCTCGGATAAACATACGTGCCGGAGACGATCGCGTCGACTACCGCCCCCGTTATAAAAAAAGAGGACATTCTCCGTCGATCATTCTCTCGCTGGAGAGACCGATGGAGAGTGCGCGCGTGAAATTTCTTCCCTCGGGGATGTGCACCTCGAGAGGTATGTCCCCGCGGACACGTAGGTTTGCGTAAACATGGGAAACGTCACTGGTTGCACAACGTCGGAGGGCCCAGGCGTGTCTATTAACGTTAACGCGCGGACATTTGCAGTATAATACTGCGAAATGCGACTCGCGGCGAAGATAAATTTCTGTGCGTTCGCGCGCAATTTATGGTCGATCTTCTTCGCGACTGAAATGATTTCGAGGCACTGCTGCGGCGATTGCGAACGATCGAAAGGGGGAAAAAAATTCTCAAACGAGCCTACGCGCACTCGATGCTGAATGTTAAAAAAGAAAAGCAATAAAAGATAGATTGGATTATTCCCCCGAAGATTTATCGCGAGTGTAAAACTCTAATCCCGGGCACAGATTTCTCGTCTAAAATACAACCCAGGCGGCAAGAATGCGGCTTTCTACATTCGCGGCGCGAATGCCTTGTTTATTATCATTATTTATAACAAGTCAGATCGCGCGACTGCCACGTTCCCACGACACGGCGACGTCCTCCGACCTGGATGCCGTGTGATTTCGAACTTTACCGCGGCGCGAGACGCCGATGTGTCACTCGTAAAGCTTCTTCTACCAGTGGGCGCAAAACGCAAGAAACCGACCAATCGCAGTGAAATATGAGACGAATGATCGACTGTCTTCGGTCGATTTCCTGCGTCGCGGCTTTGCGTCTTGCGTCCATTGTAGAATAAAGGACCGAACCCACGAAAAAACTTAAGCGGTAAAACTTAAGACTTGAGGGAAACGACCGATGACTGTCGAAAACGTAGGCAGCCACTTTGAAACTTAAGGAGTACTGAAAATTTCAATTGGTTGACATTTTTAAGTCTTGAGTCTTAAGCCAACGGCACACGATACAGTTTTTCTTACTGGATTGCCTACGAGAACCAACAAGGACGCAGAGTTTTAAGCCAACGACACACGATACAACTTTTCCTACTGGATCGCTTACGAGTGCCAATAAGGATGCAGGGTCTTCGATCAGGTGACTTGAGGCTAAATCCCGATTAGCTCACGTACATAAATAATTCAGCAGGAAAAATAGTATCGTGTGCCGTTGACTTTACTGCTTAAGTTCTCTCGTGTGTTCGGGCCTTAGGTTTTATCGGCGATCTCTCTAATCGTCGCGGACGGTGACAGAATTCCGCGCGTGGGCGTTAATGGTGGCGTTAAAGTTTGCGGCTAGGGTATCGACACGAGACGCCGGACCGTAACGGATTTATGTGTGTCACGTGTTGGCCGCGGGAGAAACGGCGGGCTCTCGATTTAACGACGGGCGACACGTGTAAATCGCCGCTATATTAATTATACATTTCTCTCCTCTGTCTCTCTCTCTCTCTCTCTCTCGCTCTCGTTCTCTCGGCGCGATTAATATTTCAACGCGCGTTCCGCGGTGGCCGCGGCATTAGCATACAATACGCGAGATCGATAGCGATTAGAGATAACTCCGCTTCTTCGTCCCCCGGCGGCGAGGAAAGCCGAGGCGGCCGCGCGGGCGGGACTCGCGCCAATCGCGCGAAAATTAATTCGGCGATTTGTGATAATTGAAAAAATTGTGGGGTCGCCGAGGAGGAGGAGGAGGAGGCGGCCCCGCCGTTTCCCGGAGGCTCTCGTGACTCACGCGCTCCGCGGCGCAATTCTCGGCCCGCGTTCGCCCGCGTGCGCGGGATCGCGGCGGTCCTGGCAAATTTGTTTTCGCGCCGGCCAATCCCGCGGAATCACCGGAACCGGGCCGAGCGGCAGTTAAACGATTCTCTCAAGCGGTTAAGTGACCGTAAAAAAAAAGGACTGCGGAGGCGTCGAGTCGCGCGACGCGTCTCTTCGCGGATCGCGCGATGATTCATCGTCGTCCCCTGCTCGCTCCGACGGCGCCACTTCCGGCTGCGCGCCCGGCGACGGCGACGACGGCCGTTCTGATGGCAGCGACCCAGCTGCGCCTCGTCCCGCGAGATCCCGCGAAACGATCGGGACGATTAGATACCCTGTAATCAGAACTGGATTCTACGATCGCAGAAGAGCGAGACAGCCTATGTTTCTCACTCACTCGCGGGAATTTGACCAACTCTTATGGCCAGTCTCTGATTACAGGGTCTCTAGTGGCGATTAGATCACGAGCGATTTGATTTAGTGCGCAAGGAAATGATTCAGTAAATCCATCATGCAATATTCATAACGCGCCCCTTTTTACGCCGGAATCTGATTACACGCGTGAAAGATGCAACTTCGACGCGATACTGTTTCAGGATGGTTTCTTTACTCCGAGCAAAGTCGCTTTTGCTAATTCAATCTAGCTACATCTGGCTCGGCGAACGACCCTAAGAACGGTATTCATAGTCAGGTTAAGATCGTCTTAGGATCATCTTTAGACACTCCGTGGCCAATGAAATGTTCCACACAGCGTCGTAAGGTAAACTTAAGACGGTCTTGTAAGATCTATCAGTCAGCTCCCGATCTCTTTCTCCAAATAGAAAGCCCGTCGAATAAAAAATTTGCAATTGCCCGAGTCGAAATTTTGGCCCTATGTTGAACCTTTAATTCTATTATATAGTAGGACCTGAGACAGTAAAAGACGTCAAACTGCAAGTACAAAATTTACTCCTACTTTAAAACTGATAGCGTCGGAAATTTCTACTTTTGCCAATTTAGCATTGAAGTAGAGCCTTTTAAGTAGGAGTTTAAGTAAATTTTAAAAGATTCAAGGAAGAAGTAAAAAATATAATGTCATCAAAGCAGGTTATTGCTGGTCTATGTAGGTGTAGAGATCAGCTAAGTAGGTGTAAATTATCCTTAAAAGTGTCAAAATAGTACGAAAATTTCGACTCGAGTGTATCCTAATTGACTCGTTCATTTTCGTGCGAAGGGCAACATTCCGAATCCTCTTTTATCGCTAAAAGTGCCTGTAAAAGATCTTTCCAACCAATAAGGATCCTGCGGAACCAATTTTAATTGGAAATAAAAGAGGATTCGGAACATGGACCAATGTCTTTATCGCGTCGAAGACGAAGGAGTCCTCGATGCAAAGCGATACGCACGTATCGCGGAACGATAAATTGCGGCTCATAAGTATCGCACTTGACGAGGTAGATAATTCCCTGCGGTAGAACCGGGACTCTGAACCCGGCGGACTGGAGAGTTCTCACACCCTCTAGTGGTCCATTATCCTCCGTCTGCCGAAGCGCGCCAGTGGTCGCGGGCTCAACGAGCTAATTTTGCGAGCGCCGGCTCGTCGTCGTCTGGTCTTTCTCACCGCGGCAGCTGGGAGGGAAAAGGGCGCTCGCCGGTTGTTTCATCACCGTGAAACGGTAGCCGGAGTGGGCTCAAGGAAGCCGACCGGGGGGAGCGGGGTGGGCGAGCCGCGAGCAGAAAAACGCGAGGGATAGGACGGCGACGAAAAAGGAGAGAAGGAATGATAGCGAATTCGGTGGCTTGCGCTAGTGCACACTTGTATTAAACTTATATTTAACTTTGTCTTAAATACACGTTCAAAGAGTAGCCAAAAAATGATCCGCATGGATGCCACGCAGATCATCATTTGACTGGCCAAGAAATATTTCAAGAGATATTTAAGACGATCCTTAAATATAAAAATAGACTGCAATGCAATCCTTATAGCGAATTCGGTTGCTTGCACTAGTGCGCACTGAGTGTACACTAAAGCCTGTTAATAGTTAATTTTCATATTTATAGCTTTGTCTTAAACACACGTTCGAAGAGTATTTAGCCGAAAACTGACCCGCGTGGATGCTATACAGACCATTTTACTGGCCAAGAAATATTTCAAGAGATATTTAAGATCCTTAAATGTAAATAGACTGCAAACAAGCCTTACAGCGAATTCGGTTAGTTGCACTGAGTGCACACTTAAGTTAACGGTCAATTTTTATATTTAACTTTGTCTTAAACACACGTTCAAAGGGAAAACTGATCCGCATGGATGCTATACAGATCATTTTACTGGCCAAGAAATATTTCAAGAGATATAAAAATTGACTATAAACAATCCCACTCAGTGCACACTAGTGCAAGCAGCCGAATTCGCTATGGGATCTCGGGGTGGACGGGAATGCGGGGTGGCGAGAAAAGGGTCGTTGCTCGGCTGGGACGAGGAGCGCGGCGGCGTAGCGACCCCAGAAAATTGGATAATTTCGATGTCGCGTCCGCGGGGCGATTGTTTCCCTCGAGAGCCCGAGGTCGGGGAAACACTGAAGCGGACCGAAAGTTGAGGCGACCTCGCGTTCTCGCGCTCTCGAGGGGTGGCCGGCCGAGATCCAGGACGGCAATCGGCGAGGCTCCCATTGTTTGCCTGGAATCTTTGAGTTCTGCGAAGGGGCCGGTTCTCGAGGCTCCTCCTCGACAAACGAGAGTCTTTTATCGAGAGGAATGTCACTTCTGAAATGTCAATATTTCGCGCGAACAGGTTTCGCCACATTTCGAAAATTACAACAAACCATTCGCCGGATAATTTTAATAAGCCGCGGCTTGTCGATATTTTCAATTTTTCGGATATACGTTGTGCTAGAGTTGAAAAAAAAATGTATCGCTGGCCCTTTCGTTCGCGCCGCGCGAATGCAGGCGCGTCGAATAAATTCCTGTCCACAAAGGTTCCAAGAAGCGAGAACGCGCTTCCGGTAGTTACTCCTTATTCGCGCCGTATATGTGCGTTGTAATTGTCCCGCCGCTATTATACACGCAACGTTACGTAAGCGGCCGCTTCTGAGCCGATGATGAGGCTTTAAGGAAGCCATTATGGCGTTTTGTTTCCAGGCGAACGTGAGCCAGGCCGAGTACGAGAGAGCGCACAGAGAGTACCTGAAACAAGTGCAGCTGTCGCACGACGGGCAGAGGCTAAGAACGCGACGGGACCTCCATGTGTTCCAGGCCGCTGGTAAGATCGCCGTAACACACCCCGGCCGCGAACTGGAAGTCGGAATCGCGCCCGCTTTCGCGGAACCGAGATTATTTATACTCTTGTTTCTTGCGAATTTACGCGCACTCGGATGATTCTATCGCCATTTATTTATCGTCTGATTACCGCGAATGCCTAACAAATTAAACAAATTAGATGTAAAAATATACGATAAACGGGAAGCGAGCACCGACTTCTGTATACCACTAGACCGATACGTTCGAGCTGAAAAGTGAGGCAGCAGTTCCGCCATGTCTTGTCGGGTAAATAAAGTAGTGTGTATGCGTCGGTGTGTCACTGACGGACCGATGCACACTTAGAGGAAAGTTCCCTGTTATGAGATAGGCTCCTAATATGAGACAGAGGAGTTTCCGCTAAATTAACAGGCGTCATCTGTTGGTTCCATGAATTTATTGCCCATGCAGTGAAATCTGTTCAGTGGAAAATTGATCCTACAATAGCAGGCCCACAATTATTCTGCGACACTGTACAATGCCTAAATACTTTTCACGTAATTTATATAATGTTAAAACACTTGCTCTTAGATCCCACTTGAGGAGGACCTAAACCAAAGGTCGAAACGTCGCGAAAGCGCATTTGATAAATGTGGCCAGCTGAGGTAGAGCGAAATTTGAAATTTTATTATTATTTCTGGCAGTCTGAAGAAACGTACCTGTTGAAAATTGATCGTTAGATCGTGCGATCGTTGCGAGATAAGATTTGCGATCGAATTTGGACGTTGCAAACCTGCTGTATCTCGTATCAGAGTCCTGTCGCATAATAGAAGACTCTGCTACTTAATTTACGCCTGACAAGCATGGCGGAACTCCCGCCTCACTTTTCAGCTCGAAGGTAGTCTGATAGTGTACAGAAGCTGCGGGAGCGAGTCTCCGGTAAATCACGAAGAGGATTCTCGCGCGAGCGTCGCTTCTGACCGCGCGGTGTCACGGTTTCTCCCAGTTGTAGGCTTGCAGGAAAGAAAAACCGAGCAGATACCGAGTAATCGTCGATCGATTGATCCTGGAGTCTGATTAATCTTGGAATCTCAGTAGGAATCCCGCGTTTTTCCGCTTGTTCCGCGAATTAGGTCTGTCCGCGCGCGCGCGCGCGCGGGAGACGATCAGCCGGTTGCGTGCGAGCAAAAAAGCGCGCACACACTCGCGCGGCGTATCCAACAAAAACAAAAGTGGCAAACGGGGGAGTGGGGCAGGGGGGGAGGCGAAACGATGCAGTTTTCCGCCGCGACCTGTCGATACGTCATCGCGACTCGCGGCGGCGGGGCGCATTCAAGTCGCGCGGCGCGGCGTTTCGGTTTCACGACTCGCGCGAGAGGCGACGCCGCCGCGCCGGCGATCGATCGTTCAAGGATGGGCAATTAAAGTCGCGCCTCGAGGAAGGAAAACGGCCGTGCAGAAACGGGACGTTTCTCCTCGCCGCGCGGCGAGTGAAACGTGATGCACGACGGCGTGTTTGCTTTTCCCGGCGTGTCGACGAACCCGCGAGGGATTTTTCCGCCCGAGAGGCCGCGCGCGATTACGCGAGACGCGGAGCGCGATTCGGCGTACTCGATCGACCGATCGATCGTTGGATCGATCGATTATCGCGCGCCCGCTCGCGACGGGGGATCCCCCGCGGCAGGAGGAAAAAGAAGCTTGCCGGAAGCGAGATCTAAAAGCGTGTTTCTTCAAGGATGCTGGGAAAATATACGCCGCGCTATTATTGGCCGTCCACCTAATTTCTCCCGCGCGGCGCGCGGCCGAGTGAGGAAAAATACTTCGCGGACTTGGCGAACAGCGAAACGGTAGTTTAATAACGCGCTGAAAGGCCCCGTCGTCGCGCCGGCCGCGACGACGTCTCCGGCAATCAAAGGTGGTCGATACGCGGGGATGCGTAACATTCGGAATGCTCCGAGGCTGTCGACCCCGGGGCCAAATTGATGAGTCGGTACGGCAATAGCGTGGCTCGGTGGTGTAACATCGCGTTTGGATCGCCTGGATTATTTATGTATTATTTCTTTTTTATTCATGATTCGTACGTTACTCGTTCCTCGAGGTGCGATCGGGTGTTTTAAGAGCTAGGGAAGAACAGGAATCTCCTCTTTCAAACTGTCGACGGAAATGTTAATAGCATCCATTATACCTGGAACCACGTTAGATTATCTTTTACGAGTACAAGATCAACGGATAACGACGCGATAATTGCGCGACGATAAATTAAGCTTTCATTTCCGCAGCTTCAGGATCCATTCACTCGAGTCCCGAGTTAGGTCGTTCCCCGCCGTGCCCCTCGGTTCGTGTTCGCGATGTAAAACGATCGCCCTCAATCATCCCGGCGGCCGCGCCAGATTCGCCAAATCCAAGCGACGCGTCTCGCCCGCGCCGGACGAATTAAGACGTGGCTCCCGCTAATGAGCCCCACGAGCGGCGCGCGACTCCGCTCAATTACGGGCCGCCCTGAAAATAGTGGGTCAACGAGATAAAAGTCGGCACGCATCTGGACGGGACGGAACGGGACGGGACGACCACCTCGGTGTGCGCGCGCGGTTTTACGCCGGGCGGTACAGCCCGGCCCGCGCAACACGCGCGCGTACACGAGTGGGCTCGAGCGCGTCCCGTCGAGTCGAAACCAGTCTGAAGTGGGCACTTGTCTATACACCGGCAGCGCAGCGGGCTAGAGGTGCGCAAAGCAGAAGAGGAGGAGGACGGTCTCTCTCTCTTGATAGCTGGTCTCTCCCTGGAGAACGCGCGCGCGTGTGTGCACGGCTGTTATTATGAAATAGAAATTCCGACCGCGGCGGAATGCCGAGCGACGAGTTCCCGAATGCAATAAGAACGAATCGCCGGGGCAGAGACGCGCCGCGCGGGAACAAGAAGTAGTCTGCCTTGCTTTATCCGCGAGGGACGTTGCGTGGATCACCCGCCGATACCGCGGAGGGATCGCGAAGCGGTGGAACCCTCCCCGTCGCGTCCCCCTCCGCCCCGCGTCTCCCGGAGCCCGTCCTGGCTCGGGATTTATTTCAATTACCCTCGCGGGTACTCTGTAAGAGTATCTTACTCTTGTTAATCGCTGTTATTAAGCCCGGAACGATGCGCGAAGCTAATGAAATACGAGGCGGAGGAGTAAAGGGAAGAGAATCGGGGCTTGAATTTATCCGTGGGAACTTTTTCATTCACGGGGTCTCCGGTTACCGGGTGTCCTGCGTAATCGACGTTCCGGAAACGCGGCCTCCGTAACGCCGAACATTCCGCGAAGAGCGACGCCGGCTGAGATGTGGGGCGCCGAGAGACGCCGTTCGGTTATTCCTCGGAATATCACGGCACGTCGGATCGATTGGGCTAATTTCGGGTCTTCTCGGCTGAAAATACACGCCGTATCATCGCGTAGATTATAGCTTATTTGTTGAGCGTCGCATCTCGCCGCTAACGTGGCGTTGATTAAGGCGCCTCTTTGACTCCGGCCACCTCGTATTAATCGAATCGGAACCTTAAGAAAATATTAGACCCTCTGTAATTTCAATGCACAGGAGACGTTGACGTCTCCCTTGAGTTCATCTCGGACGCTGAAGAGAGCGCGCGATTCGGGAGTCTCCCGCGGGAAATCCGCCCTTTCTTTTTCTCCCGAGAGTAGGGGGAAATGCATTTACGCGTACCATCAGGCCTGGACGGCTATGCCTAGGACTCTCCCTTGAAGCGGGGAAATACCGGCTAAAAACCCCTCTCCTCGGACCGTCCTCCGCGCACTATAGACTATGTTTACACGGCACCTTAATCGGGTTTAATAACGTCCGTAGTTAAGGGGCTGGCCAATCACAGTCATTCCATTCTTCTGAAGAATAGTCGTGATTGGTCAGTTTTATAACTACAGATGTTATTAAACCCGATTAAGCGTTCCGTGTAGCAGCACTCATAGACGAGCCGCCCCGGTACCACCTAGACATTCTTCGGGAAGGCCCGCCCAGCAATGATGGGCCCATAGACATAGAAGTTAGACCCAGCATACGTGTTCCCAACGTGTCACGAGCATAACAGACAGAGAGGCAAACTAGAGTGGCCGCAAGAGGCATGAGAGGGAGCGAGACGATCTGCGCAAGAAAATATTTTGTCTCTCGCTCCTTCTCATGCCCCCTGCGGCCACTCTATTTTGCCTCTCTGTCTGTTATGTTCGTGACAACTTTGCTTAAGGAAATGAATAGGCATGCTGGGTCCATCTTGTACGTCTATGGATGGGCCTTACGACCCCGTCCACAGGCGGCACACGATACATCCGCCGTCCTAACCACTCGTGCTGTACAATAACGTAACATGACCACACGGCTAGACTTCATACTCATTCATTCCTTAAGTTAGGCCCGTTTTACACCTAGGGATGATCCTACTTGTGGCTCATCCGAGTGGAGAAGTGCACACGGGCATCTCAGTATGACTGTCGTACTAAGTATGGTTTTTGTATGACTTCACTATGATTGTTAACCGTCTTCTTATGTAGAAATGGCACCCGAGTCCACAAATGGATCTCAATACGAGGATCTTTGTGCATATATTAACTCACTCGGATGAGCCACAAGTAGGACCGTCCCTAGGCGTAAAACGGGCATTACGTTCTCACACGCTGGGACGGCGGAGATCCCGATTCCGCCCCGGCGGGATACTCGGCGGGGGCCGCAATCTCGCATCGTTCCCCGATTACGTGTCGCGCGGCTTTTAACGACGCTGTTGATCCGATCCCGGAGTTCCGGAGCGCGGTTTCGGAGCAAGTTCCGCGTCCAACGGGGAGGGTCACCTGAGCGTAAATCGCGGCACGCGGCGTCTATTTTCGGTGCGTGCCGCCGTGTGATAGAGCCTAATAATAAGCGTGCGGCACGCCGACCGGCGTGGTGGCGCGGCGATTGACGGCCGCACGCGCGCGCGTGGATGTTATATTTGGGGTGATATCGCCCCCGTCGCTCCCCCGGTCGCCACCACGAAATTCTCGCCGGGTGA